CGGAGAGCCTTATAGGACCCCTATATTTAGGGGGGTGGGCTACTAAACCTGACCCTCGAAAGCTAGTTGGATACGCCTATTTTCTGTAAAGGAGGCTACCTATTTAACTAAACTCGAGGGTAGTTAGAGCTCTTAAAGGGTTTTTAGTAACTAGGGGCGGGCGATATAATCGAAAGCTCCTTTAATATCTAAAAACAGCGTAGAAACTATAATATTTTAACGCAATTTACGCTGTTTTTCGATATAGTAGAGGAGAAGAAGAGCCGTCTTAATAGCGGATCGTTATTGTCTACTTCTTATCTAACTAGGGTGTAGAAGGTCGTAGCGGGTATTAGCTAAAAAGCTAGGCCTAGTAGCTATAACGTTCTTAAGGACTTTACCTAAGCAGTTTAGAAGGGTAATAATCCTATAAGGCTTAGGATTAGAATAGTTCTGTTTCCCCGGTTTTAGTAAAACGACTCCTAGGGCCTTTTTCTAGTAGGTAGAGTAGTGGCCTGCTAAAAGTAAAGCTGAGTAGGCCTTTAATAAGGGTCCGGGAATAGCCTTATAAGCCTATTGGATCGGCTATAAGCTAATCCTATTAGGCCCTAGGGCTTTTCCCTTAGTAGCTTTAAAGATAGTGCGTTATAGTTCGGCAGCCTAAAGGCTAGGCCACTCCCACGGTCTTCTAAGACCCTTACTACGTGATCTAGTTAGGCTCTAGGGGCCGTTAGAAGGGTTAGAGGGGCCTAGGCCCCCTAAAGGGCCTATAAAAATAGGGGCTATAGGGGCGTTAGTAGCGGCAGAAAAGGGGTCTAGGCCCCCTAAAGGGCCTATAACTATAAGGGCTATAGGGGCGTCGGTAGCGGAGGGAAAAAGGGTCTAAAGAAGGGCGTTATATTTTTCGTCGAAGGTATAGGCTTTCTGCTTTATAGGCGTTTAAATCTATAGGATCTTCGCGTTTAGACCGCTTTTCGTATAGTTATAGGCCTTAAAAATCTCTGGGCCTTAGACGTAGGCTAGGAAGGCCTCCTAGTAGTCCTTTTTTACCATTTTTACTACCCTATAGTAAGCGTTACGAGCCTCTTTCCAGGTGGTTTCTAGAGCCGCTAGCCGGGTAGGCGAGGCCCCCTTTTTAGCTTTTCTAAAAACTCTAAAAGCCCTGTTAGCTGATTTTCGCAGGGCTTTTAGCTCTAGGGTCTACCACGGTTTCGAACGCTCTACTACTCTTAGGTTAGGCATAGAGGCCTTTAGAGCTAGGGAAATAGTATCCGATAGGCAGCGACCTATAGAGTCCTAATCCGAGGCGTTAATAGCCTGTTATAGCTACTAGTCGAGGGTAGGCTCTAGGTTCTTTAGGATACTAGTAAATAGACCCTAGTCCGCTAACCTATAGTTATATGCCGGTGGAAGGGCTTTATTTATAGGGCCTTTAGAACCTTTAGAACCTAGAATAGAGGCTGAAATCAGTATAGCGCGGTGTAGGGAGGGGGTGTATTCGATATATTCCCACTTATAAAAGCGGAGGCGTTCGAACCCAGGCGTATAAAATACTAGGTCTATAACCGACTCTTAACGAAGATTAGACCTAAAAAAGGTCCCCCCGTTTAGGTTAACCTCTTTAGGGTCCACCAAATAGGTAGCCTTAAGGCTATTTAACTAGTCTACTAAGGCTTAGGCCTTAATAGAAGCCTGATTCGTAGCAGCCCTGTTCTACTGCTAGTGGTTCCTGTTAAAGCCCCTATAATAAGGGTCGGCTTAGGGACCTAAAGGCCCTATAGCACGCGATCTTCGGTCCAGGGTCGGCCTTTAGAGCCTGAAAAAGAAGGAGAAGAAGAAGAAGAAGTCGAAGAGGTAGAGGGGGTAGGGCTAGGGGGCCTTATAGGCCCTTTACCTATTATCTCGGGATCCTGCTCTATCTGATTATAGATATTTAGGATATAAAAGGTCTATGGATAATAGACCTTTATAAGCTGCACGTCTATATTATCTAGAAGGTCTTCGCGTTATAAAAAATCGATACCCGAGCCCTTTCTTATATAAGTAAGGACCCTAGGCTTAATAGAAAAAAACTGGGTTTTTTGAGATATAGGCGTGATAGTATAGAAGGCTGGGTGGTTTCGAATATACTATCTTTCTGGTTTCGGGACGTAGGAGGGCTCCTGAATAAGGACTATATTAGCCGAAGCTTCTAAAGCCTGTTTTAGGATAGCCTCCTACGCCGGGCCCTGTTTATCGACGTTATACTAAATAAACCGGATATCTCTTAAGCTAAAATACCTCTTATTTATTAAGGTTTAATAGCTCGAAAGACCTCGTACTTTTTACAATAGGGGGGGTATACCCCCTTATAGTTATAGCACTTATAGGTCCTGTGTTCGTAGTCGCTATATTCCTCGTACTCGTTATAGTAGTGGTCTTCGTCGCCGTGGCCCTCCGTAGCGTAGATAGAGTAGGTAGTTAGGCTCTTATAGGTCCCTCGGGTATACCCGAATTTCTAGTAGCCAGAGCACTAGGTCTTAGGGGTCATAGGCCTATATGTGTAGACCTTTAGCCGCTGGCCGGCTATATAAAGCCCCTATTTTAAGCAGTATTTCTACTCTTTAGTAGTAGGCACTAAAAGAATAATAGTGTCGTAAATTCCGTCTAGGGTACCTAGCCACCGGGGTTTTCCTACTAACCTAATAGGGTTAAAGGTGCCGATTTTAGTGATTAGGTCTCTTAAACCTAGGCCCTGCTATAGGCTACGGTTTAGGGCTTTTTACGGTGTGTCGGAGGGGTTAGTAGGGTCGGATAATAGGGCCTCCCCCCTCTAAAGGCCCTAGTAGGCACCTATTTAATAATAAGCTTAAACTAGTCTCCTATAGGTTAGGAGGGCTAAAAAGGCAGGTTTAGCTCTTTAAACCACTGATTCTATAAGTCTAGGAGCTGCTGAACGCTGTATTTCGGGCCCGGGGTTAAAATAAGGTTTCTATTAGCTAAAAGGCTAATAGCCGTAATACCAGGGATTTTTAGAGCCTTATTTAGCCTGTTCCGAAGCTTAAGGGGATCGAAGTTCTCCCTGGGGATCGTTTCCCCTGCTATAGGTTATAAAATAATCTTAGAGACCTTTTTAGGGTCTATAGGGAGGGGGGCCGGGGGGGTTAAGGGTGCTAAGGCCTTTAGAGGGGTCTAGAGAGCTATAGAGCCTGTTTTTCCCTTTAAAGCCTCGTTATAAAGGGGTTTAGGCTGTTCTGTAAGCCTGCGAACTGCTTAGGCTAGTTCGTCGACCTTGTATTCGAGGGTAGGCGGCTGGGTCCTCTTAATAGCAGATTAAAGCCCTGAAGAGAGGGCTTTAATCTAAGAGGTAGGGTCGAGGTCGTAGGCCTGTTAAAGTAACTAAAAAGCCTGCTAGAGGAGACCCCTAGCCTGGGCCTTACTAGGCGAACTAGTCGACTTCTAGGGCGTAGTAGGGGGTTTCCTAGTAGTTCCAGTATTTCCAGGGGACTTTGTAGCCTATTTAGAGCCTACTAGGTCCTGATTTTTAGCAGGAGGGGGCCTAGAAGGCGTCTCGAATAGGCCTTCGGCTTTGGAGTCCGAAAAAGGCTCGGTTTGGGTCCTAGAACACCTTCTAGGGGTCGGGGTTAAAGGGCTAAGCTGCCTTTTCGAATAAAGGGGCGTAATAAAGGTAGAAGTCCCTGTATTTATAGGGCTTTTAGGGGATTCCCCTATTTCTACCTCCCCTAAGCCCTCTATAATTATAGGGGGTTTAGGGTTAGTTCCGGTGGTTTTATAGTGGGTTAGGGCGTTATTATGGCTGGTGTTATGGCTATTAGTGTGGCTAGTGTTATAGCTGTTATTATTGCTAGGGTCTTTTATAGGGTGCTGGGGTCGCGAGGCGTTAGTAGTTACGGCTCTGCGTGGCTGCTTTATTAGCGTGGGCGCATAGGCTATATTAGATCTTTCCCCCGTACACAGGGCACCCGTAGGTGCGTTTCTAGGCGTTTTCGCACTTATTTTACGCCCTAAATAGCGCCTGCGCGATACAGGGCTATAAATAGGCGTATAGAGCTCGAAAAGGGCTATCGATGAATATAGCTTTCAAGTGGTTTAGAGCGTTTACGCATAAAACGTGGGTCCCCCTAAAAGAGTTGTAAGAAGGATACTTTTTAGAAGTATTCGTCCTAGTATCTCTTAATTAGTAACTTCTAGGCGGCGTTTATTAGCTTAAGGTATATCTTAAGGGCCTTTAATATATCCCTTACTTCCTTTTAGCCGGCGTAATAATTCTTTGAAGCAGGGCTAACCGTCTTCGTAATATAGTCGTGGAGTACTTAGATCTCCCTCTTTTTAGCCTTATACCGATCCTCTTCTACCTATTAGATCTTAAATAGTATATTCTAATTAGTGGCGTTACGTTCTTCGGCGGTAGGAGGAGATTATAGTGGATCGGTTTAAATACGGCGCTTCGGCCGTTTAGCTTTTTTAAGGCAGGGATTAATAACGTCGGCAATATCGTGGGAGTACGCGATAGTTATCACGGCTTTAATCTAAGGCCTCTAGTCTTTCGGAGTAATAAGCGTTATAAGGCCTATAACGGGCACTGGTACCGTGGAAGCTATGGTTATACTTATAAAAAGTAGTGGAATAGAATAAACAAATAAGTTAATTAACTATATTAAACGCTTAAAACGATAGTACGATTAAAACAATAAAGTAATTAAATAAAACTAAAGCAGGCGGTCGTTACTAATAATACTAAGCTACCCGCTATAGACTTAAGGCTGATTTTAATAGCCTAGAAGCTATAGGATTAATCCGGATAGCTTCGTTTATTAGAACGCCGGGCTTATAACTATCAGAACATAAATAAGGTACGCGGAATTATATGTATTTATCTAAGTGAAGTTTGTGATACTTTATGGGGATATCTAACTATAAGGAAAAAGCAGGGAAGTAACTATAGATACATAGGATCGAGGTACTCCACACGTCTAATACAATGTGGTTTGTCACACCTCGATAAGGTGGCTGTGGGTATCTGACAACACCCAATGCTTGGAAGGCCGGGTCATGCTACTGCTCTCGAGGCTTGAAATATGCTTCGCGTGACCATGGCCTCGGGGACAGCACGCAATTCAGTGCTTCCCCCCAAGAATGTCCTCGGATGGCCTGGGCCATCACGCTATCTCTCCAGACAGTGCTTTCCCCAAGTTAGGTGTGCCCTCGAGGAAGCAGCCTGCCCACTGCCATTATTAGTTCAAAGACTCCGCACTTCAAAACCTGCTCGAGATTTTTTTACCCCGCCGGTCCGCCAGTTAATTTCACGATACCGACCGAGTCTCGCCTTTGGCCGTTGTCGAGTTCATTATCTCCCTCGTCTCTCCCGGTCTTTTTCCAGCGAACGCTCTGCACCCAAAGAAAACAGTGATAATCATGGGAGCCCATCTGAGAGGTCAACCGAGGTTGGACATTCCAAGAAATCCACTCATGACGTCTGGATCGCCTCGCACGAAGATTTTCAGAAGACTGAAAAAGCTGCAAAAGCTGCTCAGATCAATCTAAGCGCCAAACTATCCAAAGAAGGAAAAGGCCAGCGACAAGCAGCTCTTGCCGAAATATGGCGCCTAATCAAGATAGCTCGACCAGAATTCAAGTGGCTCGCCTTGGCCATCGGCTTCCTGCTCGTGTCGTCCAGCGTCACCATGTCCATCCCATTCTCCGTCGGCCGGATTCTCGACATTGTAACGAAAGACCCAGCTGAGAATGCGCGTCTGTTTGGCCTTACGTTGACACAGTTTTTTTATGGCCTCGGTGCTATACTCACCATCGGGGCCATGGCCAACTTCGGTCGCGTTATTCTGCTCCGAGTTATCGGCGAAAGAGTCGTTGCCCGTCTCAGGTCTCAACTTTACAGAAGGACATATATTCAAGACGCAGAGTTCTTCGACGCTAACCGTGTCGGTGACTTAATTTCTCGTCTCAGTTCGGACACGGTGGTTGTTGGAAAGTCGGTCACGCAGAATATTAGCGACGGTCTGCGGGCTCTCTTCAGTGGCGGAGCAGGGTTCGTTGCCATGGTTTGGCTTAGTCCTCAACTGACCGGGCTTTTGCTTGTTCTGATGCCGCCTGTGGCAATCGGGGCGTTCTTCTACGGTCGTTCTATCAGGAACATTAGCAAGGGTATTCAAAAGAACCTGGGTACATTAACGAAAATCGCCGAAGAACGACTTGGAAATGTCAAGACAAGCCAGGCATTCGTTGGCGAAGTCCAGGAAATCTCAAGATACAATGCGCAGGTCCGACGCATCTTTGCTCTGGGCCGAAAGGAGTCGACTATTGCTGCAACCTTCTTTGCCACTACTGGGTGGGCCGGCAACATGACGATCTTGGCCATGCTTGTGTCCGGTGGAGGTCTTGTCCGATCTGGATCTATGTCTGTAGGAGACCTGACATCCTTCATGATGTATACCGCATTTGCCGGTTCTAGTCTCTTCGGATTGTCATCATTTTACTCCGAGTTGATGAAAGGAGTTGGTGCTGCGAGCCGCTTGTTCGAGCTGCAGGACCGGAAACCGTCGATATCACAGACAATGGGAACGAAGGTCGTGTCGGCCCGTGGCCCAATCAAGTTTAACGATGTCGTCTTCGCTTACCCAACTCGGCCAGCAGTTAAGATATTCAGTGGCCTCGACTTCGAGATCCCGTCCGGTAGCAACGTGTGTATTGTGGGACCCTCGGGGGGCGGAAAGTCGACGGTGGCAGGTCTTCTCTTGCGATTTTATAATCCCACCTCTGGTTCTATTACGATCAATGGGGTCGATATATCCCAGATGAACATCAAATCCTTGCGACGGCGAATCGGCATGGTTGCTCAGGAGCCTGTTTTGTTCTCGGGCACCATCGCAGAAAACATTGCCTACGGTAAACCTGATGCCACAAGAGCGGAGATTATCGCAGCTGCAAGGAAGGCAAACTGCAACTTCATCAGTGATCTCCCACTGGGGTTGGATACACAGGTCGGCACAAGAGGGTCTCAGTTGTCTGGTGGTCAAAAGCAACGGATCGCCATCGCGAGGGCATTGATCAAAGATCCCGATATTCTAATTCTAGACGAGGCTACGTCAGCTCTCGATGCAGAATCCGAAACCCTTGTGAATGCTGCCCTCGCATCTTTGCTTAAAGGTCGAAATACGACTATATCTATTGCGCACCGCTTATCGACTATTAAGCGCTCCGACTTGATTATCGTGCTGTCTGCGGATGGAAAGGTGGCTGAGTTTGGAAAATACACCGAGCTCGCCGCAAACGAGGACAGCGCGTTTACTAGATTAATGGAGTGGCAGATGAGCGGAGGTGAATTTGCCGAGCCTCGGGGTGAGGACCTGTCTCGCGGCCAACTTACTGATCTTGATATTGCCACGGATAAATCAGAAGAACGGGGTGAAGATACGGAAATGGAACTAGAGTCACGGGAGGATACACGTCCGAAGGTATAATTCGTACAGTATTTCTATCTCCCTTCTAATATCACTCTGGTGTAAGAATAGTATTTTCAAAATAAGTGGTACTTTATATACTAGTCTATATTAATATAATACTATATATATTATATTACTCTCTTAAGTGCTAGAACTACTTTATATTTTATAATAATACTATAATTCTTTTTTTAATTTATATTATCGTATTATTTTTATTCTATACTATGAGGAGTTTTAATATCTTAAAATATACTTTATTTTAAATTTCGCATACTAAATAAAAGACTAAAGATATATATTATTATTCTTACTATTCTTTAGTATATATAGTATTAATAATACGCCCTAGATTTTACTAGGAATACTAGGGCGTACCACGGGGTATACTATAGGTACCTTTAGGTTACACTATAGCTTCCCTAGGGTATAATTAGTGAATACCGGGAAATCCCCCGGGCTCTCCTATACCTAGAAGCCGAGGATTCCACGGGGTTCACCCGTGGATACTTAAGTCCCGGGGGCGCGCCCCCTTAGCTTAGACAGATTACCTTGATTAGACCTTATTTACTATAGTAAAGGCTACCCTCTAAGTCCTAGGTTCTTTAGGTCTAATAGTGCTTGCTAGCTAGAGTGGTGCCCGGCTAGGGTATATTAGATCCTAGATCCTTTAAGGTATATAGTATTACCTATTAGATAAAGCGTAGACAAAATCGCTATAAAATACGTTAAAATTAATAAAGATATTTATATACCATTTTAACTGTATTGGACTGTTAGGGAACCGCTACCACCGTATTTTATATAGTGCAGATTCGATAAGCGTCTACCCGGATTATAATCTTGGTAATCCGGCCCGTTATATAACCGAAAAGACTATAGTCTATTCGATATACAACCTAATCGCCCTAGACGTTAGTTAGGCGATTAAACCTATTTATAACCGGTAGATATAACGGGTATATGGCCTATATAATCTCTTCGCTATAGCCGCCCTTAAATTCGTCCTCCATGTCCTCTAAATACTATATTCGGACTTCCTCTAGCTGTTTTTGCTATAGCCGTTCCCGTATATCTATTACTCCTACCTAGGACCTGAATATCTTAAATTTGTCGCCGCATAACGCCTTCGTTAATCCGTCTACCACTATTTCCGCGCTTATAACGTACGTTACGAGTATTTACCCTTATTCCTTTACTGAACGTAACTAGTAGCCGTGGACATCGACGTGGCGAAGGCGCGTAATTAACGTGTTAATCTCTTAATTAACTAATCGAATCGTTTAGTTATTATCGTATAAGATCCTTAATTCCGGATCGTTAAATTCCACTCCTATACTAAGTAATAGGCGTTATATAAAGATACCCTCTTTTACACCTTATACTAACGCTAATAGCTCTGCTTCCGTTATTATTATTATGACCGTATCCTGCTTATTAGTGCGCCACGCGATTATACCGCTAAATAAGCATATTATATACCCTTAACTGCTCTTACGATCGAGGGTATTATCGGTAAACGAGGCGTTAGTGTAGATTTCGATAGTATCGCCACCCCCTAGTTCTAACGTAAACGATTAGCTATTAATTAGATAAGGGATTAGATAATCGGCGGCCTTATAGTGTGCAGGCCCTGGATTAACCTTAAACCGGTATAGCCTTAATACTATAAAAGCAATATCTAGTCGCGATATCATTACTATGTATAGTATAGATCCTATCTTCCGTTAATAGCTTTTAACGTTAGTCGAGGTCCCTAAATAGGGTAGTAGCTCTATAACCTTAATTAGGTGCGTTAGGCGATAGTTACTGCTATACTTACTATTCGGCTTTCATAGGCGTTCTAACTTAATAACGTAGTCGTGTTATAATAGCTAGATTTTACTGGCGGCATGGTCACGAATAACCTTAATACTAAGGAACCACTATAGAGGATCGCCACCTTATAGGTTATAGTGGCGTTATAGGTTAGTAATAGCCTACTCTATCTATGCCTTATATTATTTCTTATAAGTAATAACGATATCGTTAACGTGGAAAAACAGGATTAAACCGCGATATAGAAAATAACACGGTTCCTACGGCACTATCTAAAAACTATCCGCTAATAGGATAGCCGAAAAGTGTTTTTACTAAAGTAATAAAGACTCCTTAAGTCTATATAACGTCTTTTTTTAGGTGCAAACGGCTCCCCGGGGCTAGAAATCCTGGTAGCGGGTATATAAAGATATTATAGGAGAGGGGCACGTATATAAACGCGTTAATAATATCGAATTATAATAGCGTGAGGTTAAATCGGGCAGCGATAGCTATTAACGCGCGGAACGACTATCTGGCTAGTATTACTATATACGTCTCCTTAAATCAGGATTAATACTGCTAATCTCCTCGCACTATAAGCCTTACCTTATATTTATATAGAAATCTATACTTATCGAATTTATATATTATTACCTATATCGAATTAAGAACCTGATATCTATCTACTATGGACGCCGGCACCCGTATCTATAACCCTATCTCCTCGTGGCTCCGTAAGTGGTCTTCTTATACCTATCGGAATAGGTGGCCGTAAGAGTGCGAGGGTATATCGCCAGGGTTCTTCGGAGGAGGAGGGAGGTCTTTATGGTGGATCTTTATAGCCGCCGGGGTAACCGCTAGAGCGCCCGCCGGAGTAACCGCTAGGGTTATATTTCCCGATATAGCCTCCCGGGTTATACTTCCGGTGGCTAGTACCGGGGCCGTGGACTCGTAGGGTATCCTTAAACATCACTATAGTGTTATAGGCGTAGACCTTGGTAACCGTAATTTAGTTAGCGGAGTCCTATTTAATATATATATATCCGGGGCGTAACGGCTAGCGTTAAATACTACCACCTAATAGTCTCTTTTCTAGCTATCGCCTTACCGGTTAGGGCGCGCTCCTCTATATATAAGGAGCCTTATAGCCGTAAATACTTCACGATAATTACCTAAGATCACGGCTACTATTAACGCTATAACCGATAGCGGGGTTTCCGGTAGAGTGGGAAGCTATAGACTTATAGGCTGCTATGGACGGGGATTAAGCGTCACACCAGCTAAATTATAGGGTTCATAACCCAAATCTTGTCCTCCTAGACTTAAGATAGCCTCCTCTACCCCTTTATAGCCGGGTACTACGGACTATAACCTTAACGGTAGCGGTTATAACGCTATCGAGGAAGGGGATCCGGAGGGAATTACCCCCGGTAAAGGGTTAAATTCAAAATAAGTAGTTATATAAAGGGGGGGGTCCTTAGCTTATACATCCGTAAACGGCCGTGAATCTCCTACTCTCTCCTACTCAATCTAACTAATCAGGTCTTCTAGTTACTCCTCGGTTAATTAATAGAGGTTATCCTTAAAGGTGGCGATATCGCCGTTAAAAAAGGCGCGTTCGTTAAAATCTATATCGTATATTCGAACTACGCGGTTATAGTGGCATAGGCTAGGCACTTAGATACGGAAGATATTAGTGGAATTATAGCCGATAAGGTAGCCGATATAGGCGCGGGGAGCGATACGATTTAATAGTTTATTAGTGGCCTTTTAGACGTCCTTTATTATCGCGTACGCCTTAAGCTGTAGGCTTAAAGGTGTAATAAAATCGGCTTCCTTTTAAAGAGGACCTTATAGGGCGTTCTCTAATGATTTTACTACCTTCGTGGAGTATGGTTACAGATGTATACGGCCATGGGAATAGCCTTAGGCCTATATAAACGGTGGTAGTTTAGCGTGGATATTTATCGTATAACCCTTTGAAATCACCACGGCAGTAGCGCGTTCGGCACCCCCGTTCTGCGCTTAAGTATCGGCAGTAGATACTTCTAAAAGGATGCCCTCTTCCCGTAGGAAGAGGGTGATATTATTAGATTAAGTTAGCTCGTTATTAGCCTTAAGAACGCGCACCTTATAGCCTAATTAACGGTCCACCTAGGCGAGGAATTCCTTAATTATTACGAGGATATCTACTACCAGCTTACTGTTTATAACGTAGGTGGCCGTAAAACCACTATAACGGTCGGTGAAAAATATAAACCTTAAGTTCCCGTCGGACGTTCGTTTAAAATCCGTGAAATCAATCGCCTATCGCTCCCCTATATAGGTAGGTACGGTGTAAGGGCGCCTACTAATATACCGTTTTATCTTTATAAGCTCGTAGGCCTCGTAGTTAATAGTTATTAATCCCTTAATCCTACCCCCCTGCGTATACTCTTCTAGGTGCCTAAGAGGCTTAGGGCTAGTATACCCTAGTCGTAGATACTATAAGATACCCTCCGTAGTGCTTAGATAATATATAGTCGATTTATAGACGCCTTATCGGGTGGAAGAAGAAGAGCCTAGAAGAGTAGCCGTAGATTGGTTAGAGGAGAGTATATATTTAACCACGGTTTAATCGAAGTAGTAACTTAGCTAGTATAATAAAGATCTATCGGCACGTCGAAGGTAGTTATTTAGTGGCTTCTAATCCTACTAGTATCCTCGTAGTCGTAACCGTTAGTTTAAGATTAAATTATAGGCAAAATCTACGTAGTATACGACGTTTAAGAGCCTAAAATCAAGGCCTCCTATTAGTCCGTTTAATCTCACGGTCATATTACTGTAACCTTTAATAGGCAGTAACGAACTACCGGCTACCACGCAGTCTCCCTGCGTGGCGGGTGTACAATCAGAAAAACAGGAAAAATCGTCAAATATATAAATAGTGGTACCGGAATTAAGGATAGTAGATGCCCGAAGATAGTAGCTAGTAGTAGTGCTAGCCGTAAAGGTAGCGGCGTAAGAGACGCCGCTACGGACACTGCTATAGTTAAGTCACGCCTCTTTAAGCTATATAGAGTCCCGGCTTATATCCTTCTTCACCCTCTTTATAGCTTGTAGTTCTTCCACTTCCGCGCGTATCGTAGGGTCGTATTTAAGGATCCGTTAAACGGGTATTTTAGTGCTATCGTAAGTAATCTAACCGTCCGTTACTATTTCCGGGAATAGGTAGTAGTAGGCGTTAATATCGTGACAAGGTGTAGCGTATATATAGTAGGGTTCCCCTCGCTAAAGGGTAGATTAACGTCTTTTAAAAGAAA